AAGCTGAAGGATGTAGAGCGGTGCTATGTCGCCCATGAGAAAGAATTATTGGGTGTCGTCCACTGCTTGCACCTTTGGAGGCACTATCTGCTGGAGAACCCGTTCATGGTCAAGACAGACAACATAGTTGTTAGCCATTTCATGACCCAGCCGAAGTTGAATGGTCGATAGGCTAGATGGCAGGAACTCCTAGCTGAATTCCACTTCAACCTGGAGTACCGAAGTAGGAAGACCAATCATGTTGCTGATGCGCTCAGTCGGAGAGCTGATCTAGCATCGGTGTGCCTACTCGCCACCCTAAGGGGGAGCAAAGTAGCCACCACCATCAAGGACCATATACAGGATCTACTCATCAAGGATCCTGCTGCACAGTATTTGGTTGATTTGGTAGGACAGGGCAAGACTCGCCAGTTCTACATGGAAGATGGTTTTCTGAAAGTGAAAGGGAACAGACTTTATGTTCCTAAAGGAGGAGATCTGCGAAGAACTCTTCTGGCAGAATGTCACGATTCTCTGTGGGCCGGCCATCCCGGTGAAGAACGCACCATGGCGTTACTTCGCCGTGCATATTATTGGCCTCAAATGGCCGATGATGTCGCTCAGTATGTGAAGACTTGTCTAGTATGCCAGAAGGACAAGTCGGACTGCTTGACACAAGCGGGACTTTTGGAACCACTAGTTGTCCCAAAGAGAACTTGGGAGAGCGTTTCCCTGTATTTCATCATCGGATTGCCCAAGGTCGGAGATCTCACAACTATCTTTGTTGTGGTTTTCCAAGTATGCCACCTTTATAACAGCCCCACAATATATATCAGCAGAAGATACAGCTCGACTCTTCTTCTCTCATGTCGTCAAATATTGGGGCCTGCCCAAAGACATTGTTAGTGATCGCGACTCACGTTTCACTAGCAACTTTTGGACCCACTGTTTAAGTGTCTTGGGTCAAAATTGAGTCACAACTCAAGTTTTCATCCGTAATATGATGGCCAGACGGAGCGGTTCAATGGTATGTTGGAGGAATATCTCCGCCACTTTGTAACCGGATCACAGAAGAATTGGGTGAAGCTTCTGGATGCTGCTCAACTGTGTTTCAATTCACAAAAGAGCTCTAGTACAAATAAAAGCGCTTTTGAAATTGTTACCAGATAGCAACCGCTACTCCCACACACAGTGAATGCACCAAACATGTCTAAATCTCCTCGAGCTGCTAGCTTCTCAAAAGAATGGAAGCGAAATTTAGAGATGGTGCGGAGCTATCTTGTCAAAGCTCAAAAGCGGATGAAGAGGCATGCTGATCAAAATCGTCTCTTTGTTGAATACCAAGTAGGAGACAAAGTGATGGTCAAAATCCCAAAGCAGTACTTATTTGCAGGGGTCCATGACCCTCGCCTATTGCAAAAATACATTGGACCCTTGTCCATTGAAAGGCGTATTGGGAAAGTTGCATACCGGGTGGATACCCCAGCTTGGTGGAAAATTCATCCCGTCTTCCATGTTAGCCTTCTGAAACCTTTTCGGGAAGACACGAAGGATCCTTCACGGAGCCAGCTCACAATACCCAGTATTCGAGGTCCCAATTCAACCGGGAAAAGGCATGTTGAAGCTATCCTTGATGATAGAGTGATTCATGCCTCAAGGAAAGATCACCAAGAGTTCTTGGTGAAATGATAGGGCTGTGATGCAGAGGAGAATACTTGGGAGAGGGGAACAAACCTCAAAGCCTACAAGAGCCTAATTGAAGATTATCTTGCAAGTAAGGCACCGAGGACGTCGCCAACTCAGGTAGGGGAGAACGTCATGGGTCGCTTTCCAGCCATGCCCCATGACCCCTTGGGCGTGTCCCGTGGCGTCCTAGCAAGCCTCCAAATGCCTAGCACCACGGACAACCCCGTGGTCTTGGCCGCGCCAAGTGACAAGCGCTCATGTGCCTCTGTCTCCCCACCGATATCCCTCGCCACCGCCCAGCCGCAGGCAGATGCCAACAGCACCGCGCGCGTTGACTGTGATGCCAAAGACAATGTTGCTGACAACGGACTTGTTCCTGCCTTGTAGAAAACTAATTCCCTTTCATTGTAAATTTTAAAGTAGTTTTATTTCATTTACTTCCATTATGTTTCTCTAGCTTAGTCAAGTATCTTTTTTAAGCACTATTAGGGGGGATCAAGCAATCAAACTTTCTAGCAAGCAAACAATTCTCTGTACTGGTGTCTCTCCCCCTCGGCACCGTGTTGCTTTTCTGTAATAGCTTTCGTTAATGCAATCAAGCTTTCTTTCATTCTCAATTCTCATTTCTGTTCTCTCAATTGCTCTTGACATTGGTTTTCCCGTACGGCACTGACAATCTCGTCTAGCGTACGGAGGGGACCTCAGTTGGCGGACAGTAAGTGCATTGAAATCAGTTGCTTAGACTTACGTCGCCCTTCTAAGGAATCTCAGGAAGGCGCCGCGTACTATTAGAAGTACCATACCACAAACGCCGATCCTTTTTTTTTTATAATTGTGGTGTACATGCCAACTTGCCACTCGTTGACTAATTCAGAGTCGCCAACTCTTTCTATATTTTGAAGGTGATTGTTGCACTTGCTCAAACTAAAAGATTTGTTCCATGACAATTGTATGGGTCAAAATCCATTTTTAGTTGAAATAGTATCAGTAAAATATCCTAAGGCACCCCGTGTCGAAGTAATCATCAGCAAAGGCCGTGGTCGAAGAGTCAGCAAGACTGAAGTCAAAGAGATGTCATCAAGGCCGAGATTGAGCACCTTTGACAGAGTTACAACGACTAGTTTTAAAATAGGACTTAAAGGAGAATTTTTCTAGTGATATTCTCTGCACTTGTATTATTAGGGCTTCTAAGAACATGTTCCTTATAAAAGAAAGAGACACAATGATATGGGACATGTGATATTCATTTGTAAAACACTCTTTGACTTTTAAGAAGAGAATCAGATCTTATTGCATGGAGAAAAGCAGAACCTTTTGGCTAAGATTCTTGTCTACACTTTTCCACCAGATCCAAGAATAACTCAGATATTCGAAGGATTATCTATCACTCATCATTTTCAGAGAGAATATTCATTACGTCCCCCTTATCTTGGGTGACTTCTTTGCATTTATTAACATAAATGCCATTTATTGTCATTCATTAATATTTAATGCTACATTATTCCCTTTGATTTCTTGAGTATTGATTACCCGTTGCCGCTGCTATCAAAATATACCTTCATAGTACTTATTTCACTTTTAAGGATCCCATCTTTAGGATTATTAATCTTAGCTAAGATTAACTCTAATTTATATTGATTTAATTAGTTGAACCAAGATCTATATATTTGTCAAACAATTTGGCGTCGTCTGTGGGGACTTCTTAGTTAAATTTTTAGTTTCCTCTAGATCTACAATCAGTGCAAGTCACTAACGTCAAAAAACCCCGGGATCTTCTTTCTTTTGTGCATACAAAACCCTATATGGCAGGTAACCAAGGAGAAAGGACAAAAATAACAAGTGACTTCCCAACCAACCTCATGAATGTCATCAATGAAAGCTGTGAAACAGTAGGTGAGGACGTGACGCCTAACGCGTCCCCTAAGCGAGAAAGGTCGCCTCCCCCACACTACAGTATAACAAACCCAGCGGAAAAGGGGCCTCTACGTCTGTAAAAGAAGGGGCACCCCTAGCTATGAAAAATTCCTCGAAGCATGGCTGAACGACACGCGAGCGAGCGTCCTTAACAAACCTACTCCAGGCGTGACTAGAGAAACCGCAAGAGCTTGCATGATACAACAAACAGACAAGCAGTGCAACCAACCAAACACTCCAACGATAGGTATAACTCACAATATTACTAACATTCCAGGTGATAACGTTCTCGTTGCCATTCTAAAGAGGATGGAAGAAATGGAGAATGAAAACAAGGCACTCCGAGACCAGATGAAAGAACATCAAGAATGAGTTGACAAGATACCGGGTGCCCCTAAGCTATTGCCAAAAAAGGACGCCGGCAGGTTCGTAGAGCAGCCATACAATGATGTTACAGACCTACATACCATACCAAAGACTTTCAAAATGCCACCCTACCTCGAGATATACGGCAAAACGACCGATCCTGAGGATCATGTGACTTCCTATGTCACCGTCGTGAAAGGCAACGACCTCGCCAAGGAACAAGTGTCCTCTATTTTGCTAAAGAAGTTTGGCGAAACCCTTACGGGAGGGGCGTTAACATGGTACACCTACCGGCCCGCTCCATAGAAACTTTCGAGGAAATGGCCGATAAGTTCGTAACCGCCTATGCCGGAGCCAAGAAGGCCGAAGCAAGAGTAAACGACATATTCGCTATTAAGCAGTCCTTGGGAGAAGGACTAAGGGACTTCCTTGCCCGGTTCAACAGAGTAAGGATGACTCTACCGAACGTATCCGAAGGGATGGCGGTCGCAACTTTCCAGAATGGGCTGAATAGAGATGGTTCAAGAGTAACTAGAAAACCGTTGAGCCGATTGATGAAGTATCGTACAACCACTTGGGACGAAATCCATAATGCTTTACCGTGCCAAGGTCCGAGCAGACCAGGACGACCTTAATGGACCAATCACCGGCTAGCCTCGGTAGAAGCCAAATCCAGAAAAGAACAAAGAGACAACACCAGAAGAGATCACCTGGTTCCGCGACTCAACAGGGAGTGGCACCAGCCATACGCCATGACGGCTGTTGCGCGTCCCTCCCCCTCTCCCCCCTCCCCCGCTATGAAGAAGGTCGATACCAGCCAAGGACGGGAACTCACCGGAGCGAAAGAGGTATGCCTCATTATTATTTGCTCACAATTTTTGTGTGTCACCTAAAAAAATAGTCTACGCTCTTGAGAAACTTGGAACAAAGGTGGAGTGGCCACCGAAGATGAGTCAGACCCGAACACCAGAAAATCCGACGCCCTCTATGAGTTCCACTAGGAACGTGGGCACAAAATAGAAGATTGTATCGCCCTCAAACAAGAAGTCGTAAACATGTTGCGGCAAGGGCACCTCAAAGAGCTGTTAAAAGATAAGGGGAGAACCAACTTCTCTAGAGGACGTGAACATCAAGGCCCGCCAAAGCCGCCATCGCCAGCTCGTACTATCAACATGATCATCGGCGATGGCGACGATGCCTACATCAATAGCGTGAAGTTTACCACCACTCACAAGCTCAAGCAGTATATGACCCGCCAACGGTACACCATACTCGAAGAAAGTATCATCTTCGACGAGTCGAATGCGGACGGTTTGAATTTTCCTCATAATGATGCCCTCGTTATTACTTTACGCATTTTAGATACCGATGTCAAACGCATCATGGTGGATGCTGGAAGTGGTGTATGCGTTATCCATCCCCGAGTCCTTACCCAAATGAGACTGGAGGATAAGATAGTACCGCGATGCATCACGCTAACCGGTTTTAATAATGCAGTTGATCGGACATCCGAGGTGATTACACTCCCTGTCTTGTCCTGCAGCGTGACTCTGGAGACGACATTCCACCTCATGGACCAGGCCATTGCATACAATGCCATTGTGGGACGACCATGGATACATCCCATGAGAGCCATCTGATAAGTTGGGATTTTGACTACTTATTAGCGCCTTTTTACTTTCGGTTTAGTCCAAAAGTGCTTAATTGTATTCCCGAAAACTGATGAAATATGCCTAATTGCAGCCCTGTGCGGCCGCACCAGGATTTGTGCAGACCGCATAACTTAAGAGATGCGGCCGCATTTTAGAATTGTACGGGCGCAGATCCAGCTCCTGTCAAGTTTGAAGAAAAGTGCGGACCGCACATGGAATCGTGCGACCGCAGAACCTCCAAAAGGGTAATTTTGTCTGAAATTTCCAGCTTTGTATAAATAGACTAGTTTCATGAAATTAGGTTAAGTTTTGAATATTGGAACTCCTGTAGCCGTTTTTCCTTACTGCTTTAGGCAACTTTAGCTTACTTTGGTGATTTAACATTGGATTTTTGTCTTTTAATCTTTCAATATGAGTTTTATCATCTTTTCTCCTCTATTTTCTTCTATACCCATTACGAGTAGCTAGATTTTTAACTAGGATTGTGACCCAACCCTAGTGTGTAAACTAATGGGTGTTTAATTTATGGCTTGTTTATGGTTTGGTGTTTATTATTTAGATGTTCTTGCTTTTTTATTGTAGAATTAATAATTGCAAATATTAGCTCATGCCTATTTGACTTGGACTCTACTTGAGAAAGAGAGACTTAGTCTAGGAAAACTTGGCTAACAAGAATTTGGGATGAAATCAAGAGATTGATAGTCCCAATTAAAGGGTTTAACCTAGAGATAGTAAAATCGACTTGAGCATTTTATCAACTGTTTTGTTCAATACCCATTTGGACTCAAGAAAGTCAAATTGGGCAAAATCACTCTCTTATCGAGAGGTATTGAGTGGGTGATTGAGTGTTGATATCTATAATACACCCCGACCAACAAAATAAGCTTTAAAGCTTACAACCCGCTAAGCAAACACCAAGGTTAAGGTCACAACCCTAGGCCTTCTACAATTTTGAAAAACAACCAAAAGCAATATTTCCTAGTTTCATATTTTTAGAATTGCAATCTTTAGCATAATTTTAGAAGTAAAAACAAAACCATATTTGTAGAAGTGCAATCTAGATACTTCACGTGCTTAGTCCAAATATATACTACTAATTACCGTTCATATAGCTCCATGTGGATTCGATCTCGACTCCTAGTTGGGTATTATTATTGCAATCGACCGTTTCATAACCTCGAATAGAGGTATGACTTGGACGAGATTAATTTTTGGCGCCGTTGCCGGGGAGCTAAAAAAGGATTTAGCTATATATTTGGTTTTGTGTGCGAATTTTATTCTTTTCCTTTCGTGTTACTAATCTTTTTGGTGAAACAATTGTAGGTGAAACAATGGCTCTCAACAACAATGATCCTCTTGAAAACATGCCTATGGGGGATGTGGACGTGGAAGATGATCAAGTTGAAGAGGTTCCTCTTAAACCTCAAGAAAATAGATGAGGACGACCGCCTCAAGACAATGTTCCCGTTCTACCCCACGTCTGCAAAGAGTGGCTCCACATCGGGTGTTGCTGAATGAAGGGTATGCAAGTGCCATAGTCCCACCCCGTATTAGGGCGGGCAACATTCAAATCACAAATTTTATGCTCATATTGTTGGAGCAACAGGGATTCTTCACTAGGGCTCCGAATGAAAATACGTATAAATACTTGAAGGGGTTTGTGGACACTTGCTGGAGGAGTAAACAGACAAACGTCTCCAAGGATGATTTACGGTTGAGGCTATTTCCTTTCTCTCTACGGGGAGGGGCCTTGGATTGGTTAGAAAGGTTGCTAAATCTTTCTATGCATAAATGAGATGAATCGGCAGAGAAATTCTTTTCCAAGTTCTTTTCTCCCGGGCATATGGCGACTCTTAGAGACGAGATTCTAGCATTCAAACAAGAACCCAATGAGCCTTTGCATGAGATATGGGAGATATACCAAACTATGGTGAAAGAGTGCCCAAACAATGACATGACGGAGGTTGTGATTCAACAAACTTTATATAGGGGGATCAATACTACCAATCAATGCGTGGTCAACCAACTTGCCGGTGGAAATTTCATGACAACGCTATATGCGGAAGCTTGTGAGATTCCAGATGAAATGTTGGATACTTCATCGGCATGACAAAGTAGAGCAAATGTTCCTCAAGGTGATCCAAATGTGATTCACTTGCATAAAGAATTACATAATCATGGGCAAGCAATTGCCGAGTTGACCACCACAATGAATCAACTAGCCAAGACTCAACATCAACAAGTGCAAGGTCCTAAGAAAGTAAATGCAATGGAGAGAATTAGTATGATGGTAAACAAGAGAAGGCAAAAGGGTCCTCAAGTGCAAAACCGTGTGGAATATTATGTGCAAGATGATAGTGGGTTTGATCAAGATGAATCTTACAATGAACAAGAGGAGGAAGAACAATATGTGAACAACTTCCAAGGGCAAAGAAACAACTCTCAAGGCCCGAATCAACAACAATGGCGACCTCAAGGAAATCAAAAGAATTGGAATTCAAACAACCAAGGTAATTGGAAAGGTGGTAACAACCAAGGGAATTGGAACAATCAAAGCAATCAAGGAAATTAGAATGGTCAAAATAACCAAGGCAATTGGAGTGGCAATAATCAGGGATATTGGGGAAGCACAAGGGAATCGGGGTCGGGCTTTCAAAGGCCCCCGATGTATTAACAACCGAGCAACCTGACTCCTTATCCTTCCCAAGGTCCAAGTTCTTCCAACAATGAGATGAGACGAATTGAGAACATGTTCAAACAAATGATGGAGAAGAATGCCGACTCCGATGTTCAACTAGCCTCTCGCAACACTTCAAATCTCAATTTGGAAGTTCAATTGGGGCAAATCTCGCAAGCTTTAAACACTCATCCTAAAGGGGCACTACCAAGTGACACGGTGATGAACCCAAAGGGTGGGAACAACACGGGACATGCCATGGGCGTTACTACAAGGAGCGGAAAAGGTGGAGATGCAATCACCTCAAGTCAAAAGAAACTTGTGGATGATGAGAAATTGGTACAAGAAGATGAGATCCCGGGCAATGAAGTGCAAGAAAGTGATGAGGTGAGAATTGATATTGATGACAATGTGGAGGAGACTCAAGTGGAAGTGAACTCGTCTAGGGAGCACATTGTTGACATACCGGAACCGGTAGTGCCAAGGGCTAAGGCACCAATGCCAAGGCCTCCTCCTCCATACCCTCAAAGGCTTGCCAAGAAAAATGGCGAGAACCAATTCCAAAAGTTCATTAACATGATGAAAAGTCTATCTATCAATGTTCCATTAGTTGAGGCTCCGGAGCAGATGCCCGGTTATGCAAAGTTCATGAAGGACTTGGTGACAAAGAAGAGGCCGATGAATTGTGAAACTATAAAGATGACTCATCAAGTGAGTGCAATTGTGCACTCAATGGCTCCTAAATTGGAAGATCTCGACGCTTTCACTATCCCTTGTACCATTGGGAGTGCCGACTTTGCTAAAGCTCTTTGTGATCTTGGGGCAAGTATCAATTTGATGCCCTATTCGGTTTTCATGACTTTAGGAATTGGGCAACCAAGACCTACATCCATGAGATTACAAATGGCGGATCGTACCATGATGTGTTGGTTCGTGCTGATAGGTTCATTCTCCCGGTGGATTTTGTTATTCTCTATTGTGAGGTTGATTATGAAGTGCCGATCATTCCTGGGAGACCTTTCCTTGCTACGGGAAAGGCCCTAGTTGATGTTGAAGTCAGAGAGCTTACCTTCCGGGTTGGTGATGAGAAAGTGATTTTTTATGTGTGCAAGTATATGAGGCAATCCAATAGCAATGAGGTGTGCTCTTTCGTGGACTTGGTGACCGATGTGCTTATTGATGAAACAAGTGCCGTGATGAATGTTGATGATACTTTGGAGGCCGTCTTGCTCAAGTGTGATGGTGAAGAAATGGAGGGTTACGTGGAATGTGTGAATGCTTTGCAAGGAATGGGGTCGTACACTTATGAGCCCGGAAAATTATCTTTGGATCTTGAGAATAGAACCACTCCTCCAAAAAAGCCTTCAATTTAGGAGCCTCCCATCTTGGAGTTGAAGCCATTACCTCCACATCTTCGATATGAATTTCTTGTCCCTTCTTCTACTTTACCGGTTATTCTTTTCTCTTGTTTGACTAATGTGCAGGTAGATTCTACATTGGCGGTGCTACAAAAGAGGAAGAAGGCTATTGGATAGACTTTGGCGGATATTCGGGGAATAAGCCCCGCATTTTGCATGCACAAGATCAACTTGGAGGAAGGTGCCAAACCATCTATTGAGCATTAAAGGAGACTCAATGAAACCATGCAAAAGGTTGTCAAAAAGGAGTTCATCAAGTGGTTGGATGCAGGGGTTGTGTACCCCATTTTCGATAGTTCGTGGACTTCTCCGGTTCAATGTGTCCCAAAGAAAGGTGGAATGACGGTGGTCACCAATGACAAGAATGAATTGTTTCCTACAAGAACGGCGACCGGGTGGAGAGTGTGTATGGACTACCGCAAGCTCAACAAAGTCACAAGGAAGGATCATTTCCCACTTCCTTTCCTTGATCAAATGCTTGATAGATTGGCCGACCGTGTTTTCTATTGTTTCCTTGATGGGTATTCTGGCTACAATCAAATTCTTATTGCTCCGGAGTATCAAGAGAAAACTACTTTCACATGTCTTTATGGTACTTTCGAATTCTCGCGGATGCCATTTGGGTTGTGCAATGCACCGACGACTTTTCAAAGGTGTGTGATGGCCATCTTCACGGACATGGTGGAGGATTTCCTTGAAGTCTTCACGGATGACTTTTTGGCAGTCAAGGATTCTTTTGATGATTGTATAGCAAACTTGGACAAAGTGTTGGCAAGATGTGAAGAAACAAACTTGGTGCTCAATTCATGGTTGAGGAGGGCATTGTCCTTGGCCACAAGATCTCAAAGAATGGCATTGAAGTCGACAAGGCAAAGATCGAGGTGATTTCTAAA